TCCCACCCGGCACCCTCTGCAGCCCCCGTACCCCCACCCTTACCGCTTCCTCCTCAACGAGCCCCACAAGTGCCGGGACCGGACGCCGTTCCTGGTGCTGCTGGTGGTGACGGAACCGGGTGACACCGTGGGGAGGAACGTCATCCGGCAAACCTGGGGCAACGAGAGCTCGGTACCGGGGGTCTCCATCCTTCGGCTCTTCCTGGTGGGCGTCCACCCGGTGTTTGGACCGGCGTTGAGGTCGGTGTTGGAGGAGGAAAGTCTTCTCCACCACGACATCATCCAACAAGATTTCTTCGACACTTACAACAACCTGACGTTGAAGACGTTGATGGGGATGGAGTGGGTGAGCAAACATTGCCCCAACGCCAGCTACGTGATGAAGGCCGATCGCGACGTCTTCCTCAACCTGGGGTACCTGGTACGGCGTTTTTTAACCAAACCCAAGAAGAATTTCATGACGGGTTACGTCTACCGCAACACGGGGCCGTTACGTAGCAAAGCCTACAAGTGGTACGTCCCCCGGGAGATCTACCCCAACAACACCTACCCACCCTACTGCGGTGGACCCGGTTACGTCCTCTCTGCTGATTTAGCTCCTAAAATTTATGGTGTTGCCCAAATTTTACCTGTTATTAACATGGAGGATTCCTTCGTGGGTATTTGTCTACATGCCTTGGGGGTCGGCGTCACCGGCAGCCCCTGGGGTGTCTTCAACATGTACCGGATCGAGTATGAGAAGTGCCGGTTCTCCCGCCTGGTCATGGTTCATCACTTCCAGCCCCAGGAGCTGCTCAAGATCTGGCCTCATTTCCAAGAGGCAAAGGTGATGTGTCACCGTTAACGGTGGCGGGAGGGTTGAGCATCCCCCCCCCCGGTCATCCCCGGTGACGGGACGTGCCGGCTCGGCTCCCTCCGGTGACTTTCTTGGCCAGTCTCTGGCTCTTGAGCAACCGCTCGAGGCTGTTTCCAAACCTCAGGTTGTTTTTTGGGGACCCACCCCACCA